ATCTTTTATGTGCAGCCAAGGTGCGATAAGACAGCATCAATATTATGTTAGCCCATTCCCCCACTGTGGCCTTTACCTTTATTTCCAGCTGTTCTTCCGTTTTTTCAGCCCACGCTGGGGGTATTGGAAAATCTCTCTGATCTGCTTCAGGCACATAGGTTCTTCTCCCATCATTGGTCTGGATTGGTCCCCACCGGGGTTGTTGTGCCATTCTCTCCGACACCCGGAGGACATCCACCAGTTCCACCTGCTTCTTTTCTCCTTTTCTTTGTCCGACCCTTAGTTGTTTAGGGGTACCTTGAACTTGTGCTGCAGCAGACCGCATGCTGGAGTCATTGTTGTCTTCTTCTGAGCTTTCATGGGGTACGGGGGTTTGTGGGCACTCAACAGGCCGAGGGAGGTTCGCCGGTTCTTCTTCTGAGCTCTCGTTTCCAGAGCTGGGGTCCCACCTGTTCACCACCAGCTTCTTCCAATTGTTTATCTTTTCCTGTGTCTGGAGCTTTAAGACCCTGTTCAGTCTTTTTGGGTGGGTTATCTTTAATGGAGGTCTCTTTGACGGTGGTCTTCTTCCCTTCTTCCTGCTTGGGCTCAGTTTTTATGGGTATTWTTGGCATGGCCTTATTCAGTCTTTCATTTTTCAATATTTCTGCTGTGACCACGACAATTTCTTTCAAGTCTGTGGGTACAYTGAGGCTCTGAGCGAAGTGCGCTGAGCCTCTTACTGCCACCTTTTCTGCCATGTCCCATGGGAGATCTCCGGACCTTAAACCACAGGTGCTGATGACGACTCTCCTCAGTCCTTGATGTACCGTATGATACAAACCTCGTTCCAATTTTTTCATCATTAGGCAGTCATAGTTCTCCATGTCATCGCCTTTCTTAAATGCAAGTACTGGGACATGAATGATTCCATAGTGGGCCAGTCCGGCTCCACTAGTCATTTGGGGTCGGTTGGAATCTTTCTTGTGGGTTTCTCTCAACTCCCTTACTTCCTTCTGGTATTCATGCCCCGCATTTTTTATTAGGGCTTTTCTGAATTTTGCATTGTAACTTTTGTAGCTGTGGTCGGTGAATATCAGTAGTCCATCACTTGAAATAGTCCATGGGTCTCCCACTGTCTGATGCAGAACTATACCATTCTGCATTCGAATCTTCAGGGTCTCCTCAGAGAGGGGGCCTAACGGGCCTCGCCCCGATATCCCTGGTTCTATGTGACGCCATTTGCGGTCACATTTTTGATGTTTTTTGTCATCTTCATTGAGGGTGGTGTTCTCAAACTGCTCAGTCAAAGCCCTCACAGTGTTCTGGTTTYCATCGTCTTTTGGTTCTGTCTTGGGGGTTTGACCCAGGTACGTTTTTATATCTTGCAAAGCCTGAGTCAGCTCTCCTATCTCTCTGTGAAAGTGGAATCGATCATCATCATCATCATCTTTTGTCCCATCAAAAGAATCTTCATCATCTTTCTTTCCTTCATCATCCTCATCCTCATCATCAGTCTCCACACCTGATTCTTTGCGGTCAGTGTTGGTGNAGTCTCTTGTACCAGTTAGACTGGCGATAAAACCTGAGTTCTTGATCTTTTTTMTCAAGATCCAATTCAGTTTTGTGAAGTTGTTTTTTCAGCTGGTCATTTTCAGTGTTGAGTTTGGAATTTRCATCTAGCAAAAAAGCTTTGGTTTCCTTCAAATCATGGATCAACTTGTCTTTGGTTTGACACTCCGTTTCAAGAACATGAATTTTCAGAACTTGTGTCTGCAAACTACTTTCAGTCTCCTCAAGTTTACCCTTAACACACCGTAGTTTAATTGCAAGTTCCTTGGATTTTTCCTGCGCAGTGATTACATCCTGACTTCTTTTATTTAAATGGGCTCTTAGCTCTTTTTGTTCAGAGAATAATTCAGACTTTTCAATTTCTTCTTTCTGACWGTCAGTGATATTGTTCTCATCTTTTGCCTCTGGCTCTGACAGTACACTTTGAGATAGTGATTCACTAGGTGAAGTGTGTACACTTCCACACCAAGTAAAAGGCTCTGAACAGAATGACATGTAACCTTCACACTTCTTGTCACCCATGTTATTTTTTCTGTGAGCGTCAAATAAACGCATAGTATTTTTCACAGTTTTTTTCATCTTTTTTTCAGATACTGTTTCCACGCCAAAAGAGAAGATCCACTTAAACAATGACTTCCATGGCAGTCCTTCCCTCTTCTGGAACATTACCAGATCAGCCACGATTCCATTGGTCAAGGTACCATTTGAATTGACAGTACCATTTAGTAAATCTTCTTTGGTTACTCCAATGGTATCAAGTCTTTCACTGACAGACGCAAAATCTATCACAATCTTTGACAGAAATGTCTCGTAATTATGTTCTCCATTTGTTATCTCCCTTGCTTCTTTCAAACATTTTTTACGCAGAGCATAAAACTTGCTTTCTTTACCAGGAAAGACGTTACTGAAGAGACTCGACGTATCTGCCCATGACGCATCCGTTTCAGTGTAGAGGAGAACAAATTGTAGGACAGTGCGAAATGTGCACCGCAAGGGTGGTGGTTTTGGTCGTCGCCCTTTTCCAGTAAACTGCAGGATGTGTTTTAACAAGTGGTAGTCATCATTCACTGTGAAAAAGAAAGAAGCAGCTATGAATATTCTCAATACTGAAACAAGTTTTTAAGCTTTACATGTATTTGAACTACTATTCC